ATTTGGGGTTCAAATGTAGAAGGGGGTTGTTTCAAGGCTGAGATGATTATATCCAGGTTTTTCATATACGAGAATGCCTAAATGGATGTTTAAATGTCATGTGGGGAGCAGGACAATTCATCATTGTGGAAAATGTCCCTCCAATTACAGGATGTCAACATCCCTGGCTTCTATCTACTAACTGCCAATAGCTGTTACTGTGATAACTGGAAAACACCTCCACAAATATCCAAAATGTCACTTGGGGTACTGTCACCCTGTTGAGAACCATTGATCTATAAAGTCTGTTCGTGCCTTGCCAATCTTTTACCACTCCTTCAGTTCGGCAGTTCATTGTGTCTCACCTGGACCATAGCAATAGCCTCCAAAATTTTCTCTCTGCCCTCAGTCCTCTCTGCCTATAATTCATCCCTCAAACAGATAGTAAAGGTGGTCTTTCTAAAATGCATGTCTGACCATGTCATTCCCCTGCTGAACATCTTCAATGATTCCCCAGTATTACAGGACGAAGTCAACTTTTTAGAACAGAGCTCAGTAACCTGATTCCACTATATTTTAAAGCTGACCTTGTACCACTCCGATTCATGCTGTGCTCATCTCCATGTATTCTCTAGAACTGAACAAGGGCTCTGAGGCTTTTCACCAACTTGTTGATCTTTTGCCTGGCAAAGTCTTACTAATCCTTCAAAATGCAACTCAGGTTTTACCTCTCCAGTGAAGCCTTTTCCTGACAATCTCCCCATTCTATTCCCAACCTTGGCACCTACCATAAATTTTGTTAGTCTGTCTCCCGCCACTAGACTGTAAACTATCTGAGGGAAGGGATTTCATCCTATGCACCTTTGTGTTTCAAGAGCATCTAACAGGTGCACGGCATATGGTAAGGTCTTAATAATCGTTTATTGACTTAAACTTGAATAATTCTGTAATATTAGCTATTTGGAGAATTCCTCAAGTTATTATATAATTGTTTTCATTTGCCTTTCAATATTTTCTCATCCTTGAAGAATCACAAATTTCTAGCCAGTTTAATCTTTCCAGTCTATCACAGCATTTTAGTTTAATATTTAATCTCCTGTGTATTTTGAAATATTTCGTATATTTTTTCTTTTACTAGCTCCACCCCATTGTATGTCCTTTTTGACCCATTCCCTAGTTTATCTTTTACTTAATTTAGTTTATCTCTCTCAAAAAATAGGCTCATTTTTTTATAAAGTGATTTTAAATCAGGTCATGAGATAGAACTTTCTTTTTAATAATTAAGGTTTTAGTATTATTTTTCCATGAATAATTTTTTTGCCAAGGTGATACTCAAAATTGACCCTCAAGTTGATCACTCTAAGTTTTGGACCATGGTTTTACGACATATGTGCTTGATATTCTCCAATACTTGATTGTGCTTTAAGTATTTTTCAGATTGTAGAGTGTTCACCTTTATCAATTCACTCGCTAATTTAAGGCAGAGACCAAAACGTACTAGTCTTAGTGTTGGTGTTTCTCTATGCTAAACTACATGGCTTGTCTCTGCTACATGAAAACCAACCAAAAACCAGACTAATTGCCATAGAGTTTATTTGACCCACGGCAACCCCGTGTGTTACAGAGCAGAACTGCTCCATAGGGTTTTCTTGGCTATTAATTTTTACAGAAGTAGATGACTAGGCCTTTCCTACTACATGAGATGGCATAATCACCCATCTTTTTTTTTTTTTTTTAATAGCTACATTATTCTTGTCTTCCCAGGATTTAGCAGCAGTATTTCAAAAATTTACTAATGACTTTCTTTTGGGTCATCACAAGAAAAATGGTTTCTGTAGAAATAATCTGCTAAATAACTGATAGTACAGAAACATTTTCCTGGAGGTTATAAGTGACCTATTGAAATATACTAAATTGGTTCTTCTCCCGCAGGAGATTCAGATCCTTCCTTTATTTCATTTTAAAATGGGAGAATAAATGGGGAAAAACATGCTCTGAAATCCTCTGTCTTGCTTTACAGCATGTAAATAGCATCATGCACAAAAAATTTTCAAGCTGTCAGGAGCAAAGCAAGTGATAATTTAGGATAATTAAATGCTTAAAACAATCAAAATAGAACTGATCCCAGTAAGCTTTTCTCACTTTAAGGAAATTTCTTTAAAAAGTAGTTACTGATCTAAATGTCTTTTAACAGGGCAGTTTAAAAAATTGTGATAAATGGTTAAACTTTTTTTAAAAAAGAAAAATTATGACTAATACATATACTATGATCCCTATCCCATAAAAAAAATAGCAGAAATAGAAACAGAATACGTACAAAGAGAGTGGGGAATGGAAGGATACACACTCCAAACTGCACTCAATGTTTTACATTGAAAGCTTCTGATTGTATCTCCTCCATCAGATTATGAGCTGCTTTGTTAAAATACAAGATACCTCGTTAAATCTGAATTTCAGATAAACAATGAAAAAAAATTTTTAGTATAAGTATGCCCCAAATATTGCATGGGACATACTTATACTTAAAAAAAAAAAGGCTTGCTTTTTTTATCTGACATTCAAATTTAACTAAAATCTTGTATTTTCACTTGTTAAATATGGCACCTCTTCTTTAAGGGGACCTTAAGCTATTCATCCTTGCACTTCCATTGGTAACAAAGTCACAGAGATATAGTTAAGTGCATAATAAATGCGGGAGTGGAGTAATTAAAGAGAGAACAACCATGACAATTTTGCTAAATTTGTGACATACGTTATCTCAATTTTATAGAAATACCTTAATGTTTTAGTAGTGGTCCTATTTTACAGATTAAGAAACATTATCCAGAAGTCACACAGCAAGTAAGGGTGGAGACAGAAATGACTCCAAGTCTCTGGGTCCCTACTCGGCAGCCATAATCACTTGCCAGCTGCAATGCAGTAGTGGGGATAGGAAAGGGGAAGAGAACCAGGGTTGAGATCTTGGTTCTGCCTAAGTGGAGCAGTGTAGGACTTTGCCCAAACCCTTATCCTCACTGAGAGATGGGATGGTGAGATTAATATGAGAGGCAGATAAATTTGGACCTTCCCACTTCCACTGCTCATTCAAGTTACATAATTAATTTTAGCCTCAATTTCCTTGCCCAGTAAAAACAGAGTGAGAAGACTTAACCTGAGTATTGATGTGAAAAGTAAATGAGATCATTCCTGTAAAGTGCCTAACACAAGGCATGGCAAGTAGAAGACACTCAGTTAATGCTAGTCATTATTAGTTCTAAGTACCAGTTTTTTCATTTGTAAAACAGAAATAACAAGACAACCATATAATGATATCTGTCTTGCCAGACTTGTTCGGAGGATCAGATGGGAATATACATTATCTTTATAAACTCTGAAGTGCTCCTCCCTCTCCTAACAAACAGCACTGCTGTTAGATCAGAACCAGAATTAATAGTATGCTGTAGCATTACTACAACTTTTTCCTATGAGTAATTACTTTTATTTTAAAAATGATCATACAGTAAAATTGACTTGGTTTTGGTGTAAAGTTCAATGAATTCTGACATAATGAATTCTGACATATATATGGATTCATGTGACCGCACCACAATCAGGATGCAGAACATCACTACGGTTTTTGAGAATCTTTTTTCAAAGTGTTTCACATTCACGTTACAAAACAATTTTAAAAGTAAGAAAAGGAGATTTAGATAAATGTGCTGAAGATGCAGATTAACGAAACTGGCTTTTTGCACAAACCCCTGCCGCCTGCAGCTCTTGTCTGGGCCATTTCTGTTGTTGGCTCTGCGAATATCTTTTTTCACAAAAGTAATCAGGATCAAATTTTAGAGTCGGGGCCTTTCTTCACACTAAAGGCACACATCACAGGCACAAACTTCAGTATCCCCTATTTGATTCTTTTTATATTAGCTGATCTTAAGTTTTCTAGCACTGTTTTCCCCATTGTTATTTTCTCATTAAAATGAAGGAGCCTGAAATAACTAGCACCTTCTTATCTTTCAGAGAAATTAGTTCAATGAACAAAGAGGATATAACATTAGTGAGAAAGCAAATGCAGGGCTTTCAGGACCTAAAACCTCTCCGATGTAGTAACAGATTCTCTCTGTAATCAATCAATCTCTTCCCCCTCCCCCCAACCTGCCGGGGACCCCCTGGGGCGATGGACTTCTGACCAAACTTCTGCTATCCCTGGGCGGCCTTTTTATCCCTCCAGGTGGTGAACTCACCCTGCTTAAGGGACTCCCACGGAAAGAAGGTGCCACATCTGGTGAGCGGGGCGGGTCCGCTTTCCGGGTGGCTCGCGTCGTTGCTATTTGCCTTTTGTTTCTAGGATGCTTTGGCTGCTCTTTCCTTCCTCAGCTTTTTATTTGGAAAGGAGAAAAGCTAATGAATCAAGAATCTCCTCTCCATGAGGATTTTTTGTTTTTTTTTTTAAAGTTGACTCCTTTTTCTCTTCACAAGTTCCGTAACTACTCAAGAAGTGCGGGGGTGGGACAAGTGGGAACACATTAATTACACCTAAATCTGAAGTTGGAAGCCGAAGGTACCACTTTGGTGAGGAGACTTTCTTAACCTCCCCTGCAACCTGCTCGGCGTTTTGCTATTGCCGCTGTACATTTCTAGCTCATTTCTTTTCTGCTGCTGATTCGTGCTGCTGTCTGTCACGCCTGAATCTATCTCGTCACTGCCATAGGTGCCCGAAATCAGGGTGAATTCCACAAGATTCCCCAGCAGTCTTGTTCCTGGCCAAGGTAAATACAGTATGCAAAATGAGGAACCACCAAAGGATGCCCGGGAGGGGGAGAGAGAGGGATTCCCTCACCTTTTCTTGCACATTCCTCGTTAATTTCCACCAGAAGGAGGCGCGCGGCCCAGATTCCCCTCTCTTCCTAAATCCCCCTACCGAGGGTTGCCGAGGTTGGCCGCGCGGCCTGAGAAGTCCCTTTTGCAGGCTCGGTCCTCCCCTCCCCCGGCTTGGTTCTTCCCAGCTGCGGAGGCTGGGCCAGGGGCTGGGGTGCGTGGAGACTCGGCGCCCGCAGCGCGGAGCCGGGAAGTCGCCGCCACTCCGGTGGGACTCGGAGTTGGCTCCGGAGCAGCGGGCGCGGAGGTGAGCGGTGGGGAGCCAACGGCTAAGGCAAAACGCTAGGCGGCGTCGGCCCCTCCCCATACTCGGGCGGGAGAGTAACGTCCGCCGTCCGGGTCCCGCTGCCGCTTTGTTCGCAACCTCTCCCCGCCCCTTTGGAGATGACTTGAACCTCCTCTGGGCTCCAAAGGGCTGGCGGGGGCGCGGGCTGGCGGGCGACAGCTGTACAGTTCTCCGGTTCCTACTAATGCAGAAAGGAACAAAAAGAGATTAAAAAAAAAAAAAACTCTTGTAACCTGAAACTTCACTCTCATCCTAACCTAGACTGAGAGGAGGTCCGGGCGGGGGCGGGGACCCTGGAAGGCAGGTCGTCCGCGGAGGCGGTAGGGGAAGGAGCTGGGAGGGTGAGAAGTTTGGTCGGGAAGGCACCGGGGATTAAGCGAGAAATTACACACCGGGGACGAGTCTGTTCCGGAAGGAGGAGGGCGGGAGGCTGGAAGGGTATATATAGTGTGGGTTGGGGAAGAGGGAAGGCTTCGCGCTCGGGTCTCGGGACGCGCGTCCCTTTCCCGGGTAAGGATGCACGGGGAGGCGAGGCCCGGGCGACCTTTCGGAAGAAGTCCGGGGACAGAGTGGGGACGACTTGTCTCTGGGAGGCCAGACTCTGCACTTGGGGAGCCACGGTTGACGCTCCTCACACTTCTTTCTTGCTTGTCCCAGGTCGCGCAGCGGGTCTAGAGGGAGACGCCAACAAAAGCGCCGAGGAGGTGCCAGCCGGGAGCGGCGGCGGCACGAAGAGGAGCCAGAGGAGGAGCGCGGAGCTGAGCGTCCCGACCGGCCGTGCGTACTTTCTTGAGGGAAGGGGCGGGGGACTCGGCCCCGGGAGAGGGACGCCCGGTGGCACGGGTTAGTCAAGTTCCAGCTGCGGCGTCCCTCCTCGGCTCCCACGAGAGGAAAGTTTTCTCCAGACGCTTCCGGCCGGCCTGCGTCCTCCGAGCCCAGCCTTTCGAGCCATCGGAGCGGGCGCCGTCACAGCCCAGCTCCGAGGAGACGCCAGCCGCGATGCCTGGGGGGTGCTCCGGCAGTCCCTCTACTGGGGACGGGCGGCTGCGGCTGGCAAGGCTGGCGCTGGTCCTCCTGGGCTGGGTTTCTTCGTCCTCTCCCGCCTCCTCGGAGTTGTCCCTGTTTTCGGCGGTGTCCACCCAGCCCCCGCTGGGCTACTGCCCTCCGCCGTGCGAGTGCTCGGAGGCGGCGCGCACCGTCAAGTGCGTTAATCGCAACCTGACCGTAGTGCCCGCGGACTTGCCGCTCTACGTGCGCAACCTCTTCCTCACTGGTAACCAACTGGCCGTGCTCCCCGCTGGCGCTTTCGCCCGCCGGCCGCCTCTGGCCGAGCTGGCCGCGCTCAACATCAGCGGCAGCCGCCTGGAGGAGGTGCGCGCCGGCGCCTTCGAACATCTGCCCAGCCTGCGGCAGCTCGACCTGAGCCACAACCCGCTGGCCGACCTCAGCCCTTTCGCTTTCTCGGGCAGCAATGCCAGCGTCTCAACCCCCAGTCCACTGGTGGAGCTGATGCTGAACCACATCGTGCCCCCTGCGGACGAGCAGCAGAACCGGAGCTTCGAAGGCATGGTGGCGGCGGCACTGCGGGCTGGCCAAGCGCTGCGCGGGCTCCGCCGCCTAGAGCTGGCCAGCAATCACTTCCTGTACTTGCCTCGGGACGTGTTGGCCTACCTGCCCGGTCTCAGGCACCTCGACCTGCGCAACAACTCGCTGGTGAGCCTGACCTACGTGTCCTTCCGCAACCTGACAGACCTAGAAAGCCTCCACCTGGAGGACAACGCCCTCAAGGTCCTTCACAACGACACCTTGGCAGAGTTGCAGGGCCTGCCTCACGTCAGGGTCTTCCTGGACAACAATCCCTGGGTCTGCGACTGCCACATGACTGATATGGTGGCCTGGCTGCAGGAGACTGAGGTAGTGCAGGGTAAAGCCAGACTCACTTGTGCATTCCCAGAAGAAATGAGGGATCGTGTCCTGTTGCAACTCAGTAGCTCCGACCTGGACTGTGACCCAATTCTCCCCCCATCCTTGCAGACTTCTTATGTTTTCTTGGGTATTGTTTTAGCCCTGATAGGAGCTATTTTCCTACTGGTTTTGTATTTGAACCGCAAGGGGATAAAAAAGTGGATGCATAACATCAGAGATGCCTGCAGGGATCACATGGAAGGATATCATTACAGATATGAAATCAATGCAGACCCCAGGTTAACAAACCTCAGTTCTAATTCCGATGTCTGAGAAACGTCAAGAGGACAGAACAAGGACAACTATGCATGAGTTGTAGACTTACGCTTTATCCCATACTAGGCTTGCTCCACTTCCACCCTCAACTATAGATGCCGCTGACTTTGACTGAAAGCAGTGAGGGGAATTTACTTCCTTGTTATGAAAAGTTTCTTGGTGTGTTCTATTAACGTAAGACGATGAACAGCTGTGCATAGTATATTACCCTCCTCTCTTTCCTTGGAACCCAACAACATGTGTGGAGGGATTTTTTAAGTTTCAGCATGAACATGGACTCCTTGCTGTCTGTTTCTTAGTACAGTTCAAGATGTAGTGAGTGTACCCACACAGATAGCACTCAACAAAAGCTGCCTCAACTTTTTTGAGAAAAATATTCATAAATACCAGTTTTATTCTCATGTACCTAAATTGTGGAGAAAATAATTGCATTCCGTAAACTGCCTGCAGACCTTAGCAAGCTCTTCAAAATAACTCCATAGTACACAGGAGCCCGTGCATGCAAGAGCATGCTTACATTTTACTGTTCTGCATATTATAAAAAATAACTTGCAACTTCAGATAATTGCTTTTTTTTGATTGCAGTTTATATGAAACTATATCAGTTTTTTTTTTAATAAACTGCATCAAGAGCCAACTGACTGAATTGTTAAAAAAAAAAATTCAATAAAGGTTCTTAAAAGAATTACAGTTGTGTCCAAGTTTGCTATATGACGAAATGATTAAGGGGACTGAAATTGAATAGTTTTGGTCTAAATGATAATTAAGTTACTGGTTAACCCAGCTGAGAATCAAACTGGAACAATATCTTATATGGGTAGAGTTGGAGATAGTTTTTGAAATGGTGGGTTCTTTGAAGATTTAAATAGGAAGTTTGAATATTCATATGAAATAGACTTCACTTAGCCCTAAAGTTAATGCTATTCATGAAATAATTTGGTAAGAGCACTATAAAGTTGGTAAGGGTGAAAAGTTCTGTATGATATAAACGGCACAATTGGAGCTTTTTCTAGACTAATGAGGTTAGGACAGAACAATATTTACTTAAGACTCTCCATATGAAATTGTTTTATGGATTCTTAGAGCAGAGTGTGAAACAAATATGCAAATAAATGTATGAAAATGAAGTGTCTTAAAATAGAATATTCTAAAATAAAACGTTTTAAAAATGTAAGTTAAAAAAATATTTCCTAAGATCATAATATACATTGGACACTTAGCTTTTCTTGAGAATATTTTAAAAAATGGAACATACATGGCCGATAGTTTATCAAAGACGCAAGTAATATGTTTAAAAAATTGTCAGGATATGAATTTGAGGAAATAATGAGAGAAAAATGTCTATATACGTAAACAAGTGTTCCAACTAATCATGGGTTCTTAAATTCAGTTTAATACTTAAGAATTTGAGGGTGTTTTGATTTTAGCTAAGTTAAAGATGTATAAACCTTCATGAGGAATATCACATTTAGGTGCAAATAAAGGCAATTTTAATCAGTTGATGCTATCAATAATAGACAATGTTTTCCTTTTTTTGGAGTTCCTTATCTGCCATTTAAGCTTAAAAGTAAATTCCATTAGTCAACCTACAAGCTGTTATATAAAGTGACTTAAATTTAGCCATTATTGCTTAAAGTAATAAGTAAATTTGCCATCGTTAAGTCTTGGGGTTGTCTTTCCTTTTAAATTGGTTATGCTCTACAGTGCTTTATGCTTGAAATAAATTTTCTGTTTCCATATTTTTATAAATTAAATAGGACTAGTGAGTACACTAAGTTCTAGAAATCTTTACCATTTCCTTTTAATTAAATTCAGAAATTTTCAAACTAGATCTAAAAATATGCAAATTATTCCTTTTTTAGACTGTTAGTCAGAATATGAAATTTTATCTCCGTTAAGTTTATTAAGGCTCATTTTATGAAATATCATGGTATTCATTATTTATGGGTTATAGTTCAGATCGTATAATTACCCAAGAAAAGGCTAAATATGTAGCACTTAATATTCCATTAAACATTTCAAGTGTTCACCAGGAATTCATAACCTGGATGATTGCCATTATTTCATTAAGAATGATGAAAACAGTAAACTGCCAAAAATACTGAAAACATCTAATAAATAATAGCACATTACCTTAGGAATGAACTTATCTTTAGTTAAGTCTGCTGATTTTGTAGACAACTACAAATTAAAATATTTATGGAGCCTCTATTAGGAAGAATTGTTTCTTCTGAGTCATGTGATAATCTAACAGTTAAATATTATGCTTTCTCGAAGATTCAGGGAAGTGTAGGTTCATTAGTCCAGTCATTCTGTTCAACTCCCTGCAGCAGAATCTGTGATAAAGTGAAGCCGAGTTTTTGCCTGTTAGGTGGATGGCTTTTTTTTTAAAGTTATGATTGCTTCTTTTCATTCCGTTGTTTCTTCCTTTGTATAAATTTCCCAAGTTGCCGGTGCTTTCTTTTGCATTACTGACTCCTTGCTATTCTCAAATACGTGACAACAGAAAATTCCTAAGGTAAAAAACATTTACTGTTTGAAAACTAATTGCTGCTATTGTGCAGTCATAGTACCATAAATCTGTATGTGTATATGGCATTCTAAGTTCCTTGGAAAATAGGTGCTCTGTAAATCCAATAAGTATAAGGGAATATAGAAAAAAAATGAAATAAAAATAAAGACGTCATAACTAAGTGTACTTGTTTAAAAAATTTACTTTGGTTGATAATACACTTTAGTTATTACTGAGCTTAACAAAGTTTTCAACAGAAAACATCCTTCATTTATCCTTTGCAAGTTTCATCTGAAGAAAGTTAGAAAAATACTTAAAAATTTAAGTGCTTGATAAATCCCTCAATTTAAAAAGCTATTAAAATGTCCAATAAATTTCTATTTAAGATGGCACAAATTCTAGGATAATACTGCTATTTGACCCTGAATCATAACTCCACCTTTCCTTGTAACCATTCAGTTTGCAGCATTAATATATGTATGATCAGTTTTGCTGCCACAAGTGTGGTTCATTAGTGACCTATAAGGCAGGCTTGTACGGAAGTGCATAGATTTTTCTTATACAATAGGGAGCCTTGGAAGCACATTTGATAGAATATATTAAAGGAAAAGGAACTACACACTTGGGGGTGGGGGAAAAACAGGCTTGGTTGAAATAAATGAGCAAATGACAAATGATGAATCCTTTTAAATATCTTGATTGGGAGCAAATGTGGATTACGCTCACCTCAATATTTAGTTAGAAATAGCATTTCTTTGTTCTGTCTTTTTAATTAAAATGAACTGTAATTGTTTTCTTGGGAATTCTGTTTTACCCTGTTAAGTAAGTCACTTTCAGTCTGATGTTCCGATATAGGTCTTATCTTGTTGAGGATGTTAGAGGCTATGCAACAAGTCTAGTTTGGAAGTTTTTCATATCATTTCTGCTTTATATTTTAATTTTTTCTCCAAAGGTTGCACTAAAATAGAGACACCATAAGGATTTGCAAGGTGAAAAATAATTTGGTATGAGCTTTGCTCTTGCTCCAAAATCCGTTCAGTCACAGCCTTCAGAGCAACACCATACACTGAAAGAGGACATTTATTAGATGAGATTCAGGTTTCAGTTTTTCTCTTGTTGAAGAGTTTTTTAACAGCAAAGGAGAGAGAAGGCAGAAAATTATACTTCTAGATAATAGATGAAAAACACCTTGACAAAGTCTTTTAAAAATCTTTCAGCAATACCATTGTGCTGCACTAGAAATAATTAGTTTAAGAAAATATATTCTGCATTGTCCAGGCAATCATGTCACCTTTAACATGGGGAAAACAACTCCTTGAGGATGTCTTGTACAGTTATTTTTTCCATTCTTAACCTCAGAGACTTTTGATTCAAAAAGGCAAACTTGTTTTATCTTTTTTTTTTTTATCTTAGAACATTTTAACAGCTCTGTCTTTGTCAGAGTTTTTAAAAAAAAACTATTGAAAAACATTTTTGACAATAAAAATTCTCTGTGTTTAAAAACTGGAAGGGTTCTTAGACATTTCAAGCCCAATCTCCCATTCTACAGATGAAGAAACTGACAATTTTGACTTTATATTATACAATTAGAACCAGGACTAGATGCTAGAGTTTCATACTCGTAGTATTGTTTTTGCCTAGATGGTGATATTACTAATCACTTTAACTTGAGGACTTTGAAATTCCCATGTCTAATAAAAAAAGACAGCTGCTTTGGTGAATTTATCTGTGTTATTGTTTTTGATTTTAGTGGCTGTTTCCATTTGTTCTACATTCCACTTTCAGTGTTTTAAAAATTACTGTCTTTGAGACCCTTGAATATGCTTAAGTAATTTTGAATTATTTTTCATAGAAGTCTTATTCCTATAAAGCTCCTTAAGTCTATGACATGATAGGAAATATTTTGGAAATTTAATGGAGATATTTCTTTTGAAAGGTAAAATTAAAACTCTGGAAAGCTTTGCTAATTTGTATAACTTTTAAAAATGAGTTAGCTCAGCTGGTGAGAAGACTAAACAAATGAGACGAAGTTCATGGCCACAAAGTCAGACAGTCACCAGATGAGACAGTTTTGCATGTTCCCCTTTGCTCCCCCTCTCCAGGTGCATGCTATCATCCTCCAAGGGCCTGGACCAAACAAGGAAGCTAAATCAATGGAAATCCATTAGCATCCTGGAAAACCAGTGCACTGACGGGCCAAAGTCTGCCAGCCCTGCTGCTGACATGCCAGTTTACTGTCTTCACATATGTAGCAGCACACGACAATCCTAGTTTCGTCAAGTAGTAGTATGTGTGCCACAAATTGCAAAAGGCTTATAACGTGAGTTTTGAGGAAAATCTGTCAAGGGTGTATTTTAATATGTCACATGGGAAACTCATTTGGTCTGCTTTATTATTTAAAGTGCAAATGTGGTTTAAGAGTAAGGATCATGATTACTGTTAAAAACTTACATGTAAATGTTTATAAAAACAGTTTATATTTAGCGGACATTTTATGGTAATGGTACTAGTTTGTGGTTCATTGCTTAACTTGGTCAATGTAAGGAAATATTTGTTTTCAAGAAAGCAATAGCTTAAAATATGACCAATCATAGTATTTTTTGTGAAAAGTAAATAGTTGATGTTTTAAAGAACCTGAGGATGTTATTAAGGCAGACTTTTGTTTTTAATGAAAGTTTAAAGATTCTTCTGCTGCACCCCCACCCCCCAGTCCTATTTCTATTTTTGTTTTCTTCCCCAAAAGAGAACCATGATACATAGCATCTTGCACACAGGAGAACTTGACTGACTGAAACATTAGGTAGGTCCGTTTACACATACACATGACTCTGAATGCTGCAATTTCCCTCAATTTTAAATGCAGTTATTAAATTGTAAAAGAAGACATCTTGCAGTTAGACACATTCCATGGTTATTCTTACAGATCCTGGCAAACACATGACTATTAAACATTTTAAAATATTTTAAAATTAATTCATGTTTCTTACAGAATATTTTAAAATATTGGGGAAAAAACCACCATAAATAACCCAATCACTAAGGAAAAAAAGCCCCTATAATGAGATAAATTGCCTTCAGTTTATATCACATTGTATCTTTCCTTTTCACTTAAAATGTTGTGAGCATTACCCACTATTATTAAAAACTATT